TATTCAATGACTGACAATGATTTTATGATGTTGACGCTACAAATGCTTGTGCAATCATCCAAGATGGAGTTGGTTTAAGTTTAGAACAAGGGCCTTAAGCATAGAATGATGAATTCTATGGAGGACGGACATCAAAAGCCAGGCAAATAAATACCGTACAGTGGTTGAATAATAACACAACAAAATTACTTTCAATATGAATGGGAATTGGTGCATGATCGCACACAATAGTAATGTATTTACAGTACTTGTGTTGTCAATAGCATTTCTTGCGAATGCATAACAAGTCTCAATAATAATTAGTAAATAAACTGTAATGCTTCAACTAAAATGTTTAAGGTATACGACGTAAACATGAAATCTATTTTTTTACAGAGAAAAAGTGCTCAAATATATGTAAAAGCAAAACTTAAACTATTGCAATGAAACAAAAAGTTGAGACTGACGTTTAGATGATTCTTTAATTGTAGTGGATCTGTTAGAATGTATATGAAGTTCCGTGGGAGTAAGATATAGACCTAGTTTGGGGGCGTTAGAGGTAGCCTGGTGGCATACCATAGGTCAGTGGTTGGGGTGTTGTCGTTGTGTGCATGTTTTTAAACTTCAAAGTTTGCAGGATAGATGCTTGAGTTTAGTGCTGTGATCGAAAACAAAAAAAATAAGAAAAGATGCTCGCCTTCTAATTGCAGGGTCCTGGGTTCAAATCCTGGAGTCCAGGACTTTTTCTCACTATAACCAACTCCACTCTAAGCCTCGCTATAGAATAGAATAGAACATTTATATAGCGCCGGTATCTGCCAGACATGACGCTCACGGCACTTATGCAAATGCTGGAGGAAGAAAATCTTTCATCCTGGTTTATGTAGAGCATCATGCGTTTGTCATGGGAAGGAATTGCCACCTATCTAATAGGACACTGATTAGTATTACTATTCGTAATCCTTGGTCATGTGCCTGGAGGAATAAAAAAAATGAAAAAAGGATGCGTTGAGATCATGGTAAATAGCTATGTATTTGTATAAGCACACAATGTACAGTCTCATAAAACTAGCAAAGGAAAACAATCGAAAAGACAAATAGAAGACATGAAGAAGGAACCAGTGCCACGCAGCACTATGATTATGACTTTATATATAATTTTATCACCGTTTCCCCTCTAAATACTGGATTGGGGCACTGGACCTTTCCACGGAGAACCATGGATCGAAAAAAGTCAATAATGCTTTTAAAAAAAGAACACATTTTACAGCTGAGTGTCATTTTTGGGCAAGTGCCTATTCTCTTAATATCTGCTGACGACGACCATTGTGGGAGGGGACTATAAGTCCTCCTGTCGGTGACCATGGCCTCCTCAGCGGGAAATATCTGCTGTCAATTAAAAAATAAAATATGAGTGTCTTATCTCTATGAAATTGGATTTCGAAAAAATAACTCGGGCGATTGAATCTTTTCGGTAAACTAGAACTAATGAATGTGATATTTTGTTAGTACACACAACTACTTATAAAACGTTGATTATTCATGTGCTCGCTATCTTATGGACCAAGTAACAGTTACGGTATCGTTGTATGCCTATTTCAGTGGAGATTTTTTTGTTGACAAAACACTTACTTACTGAACTAAGTTTTTTTTTTGCAATATAGGGCCTAGTAAGTCTTGAACGTTGAAATGAAATTACCGTCAAATATTTGAATACATTTATAATTTACACAGCTAACGCCAGAATAAGCTACCTTGTCCAAGCCTTTGCAAATTGTTATAATTTATTATTGTTTCATATTTTATATCATGACATTTTTACCGTTCAGACCGTACAACTAATCTTCATATTTCTTTTTGGTCTAAATAACTTCGGTACCTACTAAACAAAATCACCCGAGAGGCTAATCCTTCATCAAAGTTTACTCTAAACCTATCGTAGAAAGTACCGCTTTTACAGTGAATTAAGTTTTTTAGTCATCGTGTACAATATCCAACCAAGTATTAAGGCACATAGGCTCTCTAGACTGAGTTACCACCTGGTCCGTTGCCACCCTTCCTGGGTAATCATGCTTTTTGCTACTATTTCACCCCTCCACCCGGCTTTAGTTGTTTCTATAGAAAAGACAAGACAAAATTCGATTGAGGGCGCTTTACTAAGATCTCCGCTGTCAGAGCTCCGTACTCCCTTAGAAATCTCTCTCCCTCTCTGCTCGGACTCATAGCCATACAAGCCAAACGATTGGTTGAAACTTACTAGGAGTTTAGGGGAAAGTTTGAATATAATATAATCTTAAAAATGTTAACTTACCAAAACCAATCACGAAACTTTACACCACCCCGCACCTACTGCAAACATTTCATACATGTTGCTTCACGTGGAAGCACACTCAACATCGTTCTTAAATCTTGAAGTACTGTGATATATCTATTCACTTTAAGTCCCGTGGTCTGTTCACCTCATGGCGGGGACCAAGACTTTTTTCCAGTTTTTCCTTGGCCTTCCGCATCCATGCTACCATCACAGATTTAATTACGGACATTAATTGTGTCTTCCGAAATAAAGATATCGAGCAAAGACTCCATCATACTGAAAGTTCCATGAAACTGGTTTCCTAAAGTTACTCCTGCAAATGTGAAAAATACTTCCCTTTCTGGCTGACATAGAGGTATGTGGTTGGTTGATTTCTTGTGAGGGTGAGGGAGGGTCTAGCTTAACCTTAAAGTTAACTCTGTAACAAACCAATCTCGAGATAAGATAGGCCTACTCCAAGTATCGAAATGCACGTCATCGTGAGTGTCGCGATTCAATATTTCGACATTTATTATGTCATCATCAGGAATTTCCTAATGATGACATAATTCATGTCGAAATATTGAATCCCGACAAGGTGGCATGCATTTCGATCTTGGAGTATCTATTATATTATCTTATCTGAGGTAATTCAGTGGACCCTTCGGTTTTTGGAAAATCCCTAGATATTATAAAATATAGGCATATAGGCCTACTTGGCTTTTACAAAAAAAAAAAAGCAACCATCTTAGGTAGGCCTACCTCTAAATGCTACTTTCAAATAAAAAAATACCGTGCAAAATGCCTACTATTTCATAATATATAGCCCTAATTCTAATTCTTAAAATTAAGAAAGTGTTAACACTATTATTATGTAAAATAAAAACTATGAGATACAGTACCGGTAATTCTAAATCACTTCAGTGTCAGCCATAATAAAAGATTCAAATTATATTATTTTATGTTTCAATTTGGTTTCAGTTTAATAATCTTTATTTACTCATTCACATGGGGGCATTATGATTTGTTGAGGTATAATTTTAAAGGTATTGGAATTGTAACCATTGATATGCATAATACTGTAGGCCTATTAAGGGGTGGATTAAATGCTGGTAAAGGCCTAATAGGCCAACTTTCTAGACACAACAGACTTTTCGATGGGGACATGTGCAATGAAGCTGA